AATATTTCATCATTGATTTTATTCTGAAGACAGAGATCAAATATATTACTATGTTTGGATAACTTTGGCTTCTGTCTCCTATTGTCAATGAATATGATCTATGGTTTCACCTTGAAATAGCATTGTGTAGTCCTGGAGAAAGTCACTGGGTAGCATCTTCTAAATTCAAATATTTTCATATTAAAAATAGCTTTGAAAGATATTTTAGTACATATTGTGCTAAAATAAAAAAGACCAAATGTCAAAATGTGTCCAATTCTAAAGGCAAACTTCATGCTATGGATAATTAAAAACTATTATTTCATTTAGTCAACCACTCATCAGAAAATAGTAAATCTAAACAGACCCTAGAGATGAATATCTCTAATAACAATATCTTTAATATCTTTAATAACAATATTCTCATCTTAGAGATGAAAAAACAGAAACATGAAGAGATAAAATGACTTATCTTGATTAAGAAGAAATTTCAAAATGTTTTAAATTGAGTGATTATGAAAACACAACATATGAAAATTTGCGGGATGCATCTAAAGCAATACTTAGAGGAAATTTTATGGCTTTAAATGGTTATATTAGAAAGGAACAGAGGTATAAATCAATTATCTGTTTCTACCTTAATAAGCTAAGAGAATTCAAGAAAATAAAACTAAAATAAGTTGATGGAATGAGGTAATAAATGTAAAAGCAGAAATCAATGAAATAGAACAAAGACAATAGCAAAAATGAACAAAGACACCAGTTGGTTCTCTGAAAAAGTAATAAAATTAGTAGCAGGATCAAAAAGAGGAAAAAGCACAAATTATAAATGAAAGAGGAGGTATCATTATAGATCCTATACATATAAAAAGGATAAGGAATATGATACACAATATAAATTTGACAATTACCAAATTCTCTAAGATATAAATTACCAAAACAGACACAATAAAAAAATTGTAATCTGAAAATCCATATATATTTAACATTAAATTTGTAATTTAAAATCTTGGCATGAGGAAAACTCCAGGCATAGATGACTTCAATTCTTAATTCTCATTTCCATTCCTAATTAAGAGATGGTGAATTCTCTCAAACTTTTCAGGAAAAAAAAAATACCATTCTTACACAAATTCTTTCATGACATAAAGGAAGAGGAAGAATTGTCAGTATAACCCAACAAAACCTGACAAAGACTTTACAAGTAAAAAAAATTACACACCCATATCTGTCATGAACCTAGATGTGAAGTTCCTTAAATATTAGCAAATCTAGCCCAGAAATATAGTAAAAGGGTATATATAATGATCTGAATTTGCTTAGTATTCAAAAATCATTTAAGGTAATTTACGTATTAAGAGAAAAAAGGGAGGGGGAAATCTTATCATCATCTCAATAGATGCAGAAAAAGCATCTGACAAAATTCAAAAGACATTAATTATAAAAAAAACTTTCAGCCACTAGAAATGTGAGATCTCTCTCAACCAGTA